CACATTAACCGGACTCCACTGTATAAAGAATGTATCTGAACTCGTTAAAAGGTACTTGCGGAAATCCCACCTAAAATGGCGCAAAAAACAATCATTTTCTTTCGCGTAAAGAAAACTATTTAACTGTTTGCTAAGCTTGAAAAAAGCTTTTTATCTACGTGCCAAACGAAACAGATTGTTTTTTACTATTTTACACTTATGAGACATCAACAAGTGTAAATGTCCCGTAAGTGGCCTCACGTCAAGTCGTCAGGTCATTTGGTCTTACCCTATCTCCCAGCCCAAAATTATCGTCTGAAGATTTTTCATTCATTCATATCGAATGCCATGGAAACTTAAAACCATTCGGGTTCCGGTATCGATCCAGTAGGACCTGATCGCTTCTCCTTTTCCTGAACATCCCAAAGTCTTTCTATCGAGTTTTCTCTATCAACAAATGGGTTTTCTCTTCTACACATCCATTATTTCATCGCCTCTTCCATAACGTGCTCGGATAAAAATTTCGGTGAATTTTCAGGACAAAACGTGTCCGTCTTGCTGGAATTCTCCTTGCCAACCTATGTCCTCGGGTTGGCCGTATAGTAAGTGCGTCCGCTAACGCAACAACCAATCAACCTGGCAGTGGTGGTGGCAGCCAATGGGTTGCATGCGACATAATTGTATATAAAGAGGGAAGGGTTTCAATGCATAATCAACACAGGTGATCCAAACTACGATTATGGCAATGCTTTCGTCTACCATACTTCAGGCCGCTCTGTTTTTCTACGTCGTTATTTCAGGTAAGCTGTTTTACACGTGAAACTTCGCAGTTAAATTCTTTTAACTATCAAAATGAAACATTGTGTAGAGACACATAAATGTATGTACGTATGCATTTACCATATACTTTCAAGGAAAAAAGCTGACATACACACTTGACCAGCAGTGTTATCTGGTGGAATCTAAAAAATCACTCGTTCTTTCAGCGCACGCCGACGAACCAACGGTGTATAAAATATGCAAAAATGAGAACGAGGATTGCGTGGCTGTGACTTACAACCTTGGAGATCCCAGCAAAGAACGTGTCTGTCGTGAGGCCTGTGGAATGACAGGAGGTTTGTGCCTTCATAATGTACTGTTTCCTTCTTTATGTAACATCTGCTCGTAAGAGCTTTGCTACCTTACACATTGATTCCCAGAATAGTACTCATTGTGCGCACTGAGCTTCTTCTTTTCCTCCAGAGGAACTTAATACAAAATGGACAGTATACAACTGCAAGGGACATGAGAAAACCTGCGAGGCCTACGACCTTGGTGCAAAAGGTGACTTCGACACTTCCTTTGCTAGGCACGTTGCATGTGTTGGAACTTGTGGCTTTCTCGAAAAAGGTATAGTTGTGCATTTCAATGCAACTCTCCTTGCAATTTTACTTTTTTAACCCTTTATTTGGTCATGAATCTTGTACAACTACTTGTTTGGTTTCAGCTCAATATGACACCACGGGCAACCTTAAATTGTGTTCGGCAGAAAATAGTTCCTGTATGACTGTACCGAGATTAAAGGGGAATTTTGATGCCTACAGAATGTGCGCTTTCAGATGCGGTGGTTTTTGGGACTGTAAGGTGTCATTCTCCTGTTAAATCAAATTCTCATTATTTTCCTTATTTTGGGCTTGCTACGCTCCATGTGATGCTTCTATTTTACTTTTGAAGTGGCACAAACCGAACGCCAGTATAGCCTCCTCTGCACTGAAAACAACACCTGCCAGGAAGGCAGTTACTTCACCGAGCCAAATGTACCACGCCCATTCGTCCGCTTGTCCGAATGTTTGGAAATGTGCTTGACACCAGGTAATGATTGACCTTTATTGTATGCAATATCAAAATAGTATGCAACTTAGTTGCAAAGTGCGTAAAAAGGGTGAAATTTTGCGATGTTAGCCTTTCTACCACATCATTTTACTCCATAGTAATATGAACTACTACTACCACCACTGTAACATACCACGCGACAGTCTAAACACGGTTTCTCTTGAGGTGCACCGTTAATCCCACAGCATGTTGGATGCGGTCCTCGTTGAGTTACTTTCGTATTATTTTATAGTAATGATAGATTTGCACTGGCTCTAACATACTCTCCGGAACCTCACTGACATGTCCGTGCATGCTACAAAAAATTCAGTAACTGTATAGTAATTAAAAAAA